ATCATTCAAGAGTAGAGGGAAGAATAGTACGTGATATAAACACCAAATATTTTAATACAACTGGTTCTGTTACATGGCAACTTAATGCAATAAAAAAATTTAATTTTTAAACTTATGCTGGTTTTATAAATGCACTGCCTAACAAAACTGTTTTTTTTTAATATCTACAAAGTTTTTCAAGCTAAACTTATTTTTTGGTTTTTTATATAACAATATTTTTCATACCTGAACCAAACCCATATAATTCAAAGTTTAAAAAATAAAATAATGTTCTTTAAAATTTCGAACTTTTTAATAAGAATCTGTATAAAGTTTGAAATGTTGATTAATAGGTAGTTAGTTCAACCATGAACAATATTTTTATACAATAATAACAAAAGAAAAATTCAGCTTGAAAAACATTGTACACCAATGGCCAACATAATAGAAACCCCTTATTTTGACCAGTTTTGGCTATATTTACTTATTTAATATTTATTATTTTTTTTTATAAAAGCACAGCTCAATATCTAACAGAAACGATAAAAATTCATATTTCAAAAAATTATATAAATTCTGCAAAATTGCATTTAAATTCTCAACTTTTTAGATTTGGTAAGCAGTTTTATAGTCCATTCAATTTTAGTGTAACAAAGTGTATGTTTGAGGTTGCTAAAGAATCTAAATACTAATGTACTTCAGTTCATTTGTCTACATATTTAGTTAAAAAAGAAAACAGTATTTAAGCAGCCCTTCAGTCAAAAAAAAAGATTAATACCTCAAAAATTCCCAAAAGAAGCAAGGTCGGCATTCATGTTTCTAGAATATGTTTTGGATATACCATTACAGTTTTCAAATCGGTTCTGGATTGGGAATTTTACAAAATTCGCAAGCAAGAACGAGTTTGAAAAAATCATCGGCATAAATATAGCCGAAATATCTGAATTCGTTGTTGCCGTTTTGGCTGTTGGTTAAGTATAAAAAAAAAACATAAATTTCATAAAGCTTAGTAATTTAAGTTGCCTTCCAATAAAAGATTTTTCCTTTTTTTAGATTCAAACAGTAAGTGAACAAACGATTCCTTAAGTTCCTCCTTGATTTCTTAATTTTTAAGAGCGCGACCATTAAAAACCTACAGAAAGCGTCGTCGTAGTCATCCAATTCAGAATTATCTTTTTGTGCAATAGATTTCAATGCCTCCGTCGCAGCTTCTAACATGTCGTTCTCCTTTGGTGTTGAGCTCTCTTTATCCGGACGCACTCTCTTCTTACTTCGGGCCGGAGGAGACCAGTCACTTTCTAGTTCAACTGAAATTTGAGAATAATCCAGGAACTGAAAGTAAGGATATACATACATATGCACATATGTATATATACAAATGTACATGCACGAACTAAACAAAATGATTTCTCAGCAACGCAGCAGTCCTCACCGATGAAAAATTACTTTCTCGTTCCCGAACAAAATCGGATAGAAAACTGAGCTTCTTATACCAAAACGCAGTTGGGACGTAAACTTCGTCAGCGTCCGCTCCACTTTTCTTATTGCTACACTTTGCAACTTCTCACGTGAATTGTCCTTGCAAGTAGTTCATTTTTGCCTATAATTGGTATAAAAGGACAAACATTACAATCGTTGTAAATGTATTTAGATATACATGTACCTTTACTTCAGCGGACCCAATTCCTGGCATAAAATCGTTAAGACTTTCCGAGAATTCGCTTAGCGCTTGGTACCGCGCATGTTTATTGTGGTAAAAATTGTTCTTTGGATTGTACAAACACCCAAATGACTCCCACAATTCAATTAGATGCAGGACAGCTTCCCTCGGCCATTCCAACTAAAGTTTTAGTAGTTTTGGTGTGTGCATGTTTTAAACATAAAGCACAACAGTTTACCTTCTTGGATTCTTTATCCATATTTGCAAAATTATTTAAAATTACTTTTGAGTGCGCTAATAAACGTGTTCTAACAGCAATGTTTGAAAATGAAATATAAAAAGAGCAGCTGATTCCATGATACAAAAAAGAAGGTAGTTTCAATAAACAACTTTTGACAGATAATAAAGCTTTTTGAAGTTTCATAAATTTCGAGTATTATCAACGGCCTTGCCACTTTGATAATACTAAGGCAATAAATCGGAGAATTTTCTTTCGCATATTTATACCAATGTAATAATATTTCAAATCAAAAACCATTATCAGTGCTTGGTATTTTTTACTTACGTAGCTCGCACTATTTTTTTTTAACTATATAAAGTATAAACTATTAAAGAAGACTTCATCGTAATTGTTCATATTATTTTTTAATAAAAACTACGCGCATTATTTTGTTATTTTTTCGATTTCTTATTTTGAATGCAATCCTGCGATTTAAAAATCGAATTCTAAAGAATGTTCATCCCAAATAAAACCTTTTTATATTTTGGTTCAAATTTAATTTTAAATTTCTCATCACATTTCGAAAAAAATTTGGTTTTGTGATTAGCACCATTAACGTTCACAAATTTTTAATGTAAAATGCAAATGCGCGTATCACGATAATTCAAAACCGCGTATGTGAGGTTGCATAAACTTGTGTGAACAAATCCAATTTTTGGCAAAAAATTTCAGTTAGGCGGTTTTGCACAACGACGATACGCGGTTATGTACTTTAAACGACAATATGTAAGTATACAATTTCTTCACGCGTTCTGAAACCTAGTCGTCAGCCCCATTTTCAAAATTAAGTAGCCGGCATAATTTTCAAGCCCATTAAATAAAATCTTCTGTTTAAAACAAAATATTTATTGTAGTGATCAGGTAGCGTGAACTTGATGAAATGTCATAATTTTATTAAAAGTCAAATGGTTAACAACAACAACGAATGTCATTAAATGAAACTACCTTCTTTTTTGTATCATGGCTGATTCTATCTGTATGTCAGGTGAAAATAGAAACATTTATATTTCGTATGTACGTGGATCTGCTTTGTACAGTAGCAAATCTAGTTTGTCTTTACACGATATGTTTGCATTTTCATACACTGAAAATAAAATCTGCGTAAATATAACGAAAACTTGCGTACATTTTACGAAAGTTTTCGTCATTTTGGGCCACGAAAGTTTTTGTTAATTGTTCAAAACCTTTTTGTGCATACTACGAAAATATGAGACATCAGATCTTACTACATTTTACGAACGTATTCGTACTACTTACTAAAGAACTTCGTACTATTTCTTTATTTTTTTACGAAATGTTTGTAAAATGCACAAAATAGTTCGTATATTTAACGAAATTATTTTCCTAAAATCTGCGATTGTTTCATAGAACTTCCGATTGCTTTCATTCACCACACTGTAAAAAACATAAGACGAATTATAACACAACACTTTTATTTTGTTTTTATTCCTAATTTTAAGCGTTTTTCTTTAACAAAATGTTTTGTAATGTTTTTATGTGGAGGTACTTGGCAGATTCGCAGCTTCTTCGATGTTTGTTTCCTTTCTCGACTATAAATTAAAGGAAAATTATAAGGCGTCTGAAAGGCAAGTTTCAGTGAAAAATCATACATGTACTTACTTAAAATTTTATTAACTAGTGCGTTTGCTCCTGGCTTGGGCTTACCGTTGATAGCTAACTGATGAAATTGCCTATTTATGAGGTCCCACATTGCAGAGCAAGGCTCAGCGTGGGCGATGTTGAAAACATTGTATGCTTAAAAGGATTTATTCATAGCTTTAACATTTAATTTTATATTGTATTTTTATCCAGCAAAAGCTTCTTAAAACTTTTAAAATTATATTCTACGTCTCACAGTAGCCAACCAGTGGGTTCGCAATGACACTTGGTACATAAAAATATGACGAAATATTAAACTGCATTTGTTCTGTGTACGAAAGTATTAAGTAAATTGTACGAATACAGAATTGTAGATTTCGTAAATTTTAAAACCATACTTAAATATTACGAATGCCTTCGTACAATATACAAAATTATTCGTACAGAGATTTTTTCGGTAATTTACGAATGTGTTTCGTAAAATAAACGTAAGATTTCGTAAATTGTACTGAAAAAAGGCTTTACGAAAGTCCTTTCGTTATATTTACGGATGGTTCGAAAAATCTTACTTTATTGTGAAAAATGTGTTCTTACTATGAACGAAAGTTTCGCACATTGTACAAAAACCAAGAATACGAAAGTTTGTCGTAGCACTTTTACGAAATTTTATTTTCAGTGTATGTAAACAGTAGCATGTACACATGCAAATACATATCGAGTAAGAACACCTTTAAGTGATTCCACCGTGCTTTCCTTGAATTTCGTTGACATCTGTTTATTAGTGTGTGTGTTTGTGCGCGTTTGTTTATGTATAAAACTTTGACATTTAGAGCGAAGCAATCTGCAGTGTTGAACTTTCTAGTATCTAAAGGTTTGTTCGTTTTACAGGGATTTCGATAGGATTCCGTTGAAATCTGATTGAAATCCAAGTAATCGAAATTCTTGATTCTTTCAAAAAATAAAAAATAAATAAAAAATCTACCAAGTGTATGTAAATCTTTTTTTTTTATAAAACAACAAAAAATATATTTGGCGCCACGGCATCCATGGTCGAATGAAACCCGATTCGAAACGAAAGAAATAAAATGACCGCTTTTTTCTTGAAAATACTTTTTAAATTGAAAAAGAGAACTCGCTACCAAAACAATTTTTCATTAATCTAATCAATTTAAATGCATTTCCAAGTAAAAACAAACATGTAAGTATGTACCACCAAGTAGACGCATCAAAGATAGATATTCAAAATGGAATGCACGATATGAATTATTTGAAGTACCTAACAAAAGATTTTTTTCCAACAGTCATTACTCTGTTATTGATGCACGGAATAAGTAAATGCGCTTATCAATCCCTAGACGTCGCCGTGAATAAATATACTCGCGCGAGCTGTAAAAACCACTGAATTGCCACACCCAACCTTCAGTTCGTCTGAGCCATCAGTACTCTTAATAACTAATTAGTTAATATGAAAAAAAAATAGTTAACATGAAAATCTACGCCGTATTGCTGATCGCTTTGGCAATAGCCGCACCTGCTTTCGGCGTTGTCCTGAACCGTTGTTCATTGGCCCATGAGATGCCGCGTCTGGGTGATCTAAGGGATAAGTTGGCACGCTGGGCTTGTATTGCTGAACAAGAGAGCTCCTACCGCAGCGACGTCATCGGTCCCACCTACAACGATGGCTCTCATGATTATGACATCTGCCAAATCAATGATTACTTTTGGTGTCAACCTGCCAGTGGACTCTTCTCCTACAATCAATGCCATGTCGGTTGCAATGAACTACTGATGTCGTGTTTCGAGCCCTGTATTAATTTAAAAAGGGGCTCAAACAATTACTCCCCAATTAAAAATTGTTTTGTTAAACTTTGATTTGAAATGCTTGATATTTGCTGGCAGGCTATCACAAAAAACGTATTGCATACGAAAAATATGTTCATAAATAGCTCATAGATATGGAATTTTACTTTTAAATTGGTCAGAGTTAACTTTTCATTTTTAGTTTAGGTGTGTTCGATGACAAAATTTTTTATTCATTTAAATCTCTTTGCTTTCTTTCCGAAAAATGTTAGTAGATTTTTAGCCTTTGTTGTTAAAAATGGTATGAAATAAAATACAGCTTAAAAGTTGGTAGATCTACAAATAAAGTGGAATAGTCCGTGCACTGGACCTTAGGCAATGTGCAACCTTTCGCACAAACATGTATTCATAATCGTTACCTGCGATGCAAAATAAGCCGAAACAAACATCTTCAACTGAAATGCAAAAATCCCTAACTAACAATTTTTTTTTTTGCATTTAAGTTGACGATATATACATACATACATACCCTGACAACCAAAGTTCCCAAAATCTGTAAGAGTATCCGATTTGAGAACCGATTTTTTTACGAATCTGCAAAGAAAATTATATGAAGCGGTTGGCACGAGCTCGTAAAGAAATTTTTGTACACTTTCTTTAAAAAAAAATCTGCGAAAAGTTCTTCACATAGCAGCATTAGTTTCATTTAGGGATGTCAGTGACAAAAATACATCAATGTTTTTCCTCGCATCGATACATCGATATTTGTCGATGCATTGGAAGTCATAAACAAAACCAATTTCAAACAATTTAACAAACTTTTACTTTCATGTGACTCAAATAAGCTTTTATTAAAATATTCATAGCGTGTTTCAAGTAAAAATTATTTTTTATAAAAGTATTGTTGATGCTTTAACGAAAACCATTGAAAACAATAGTGGTATTCATCTAAACCGATAACTTTATCAAGCAGATAATCTTATAAGTTTACGCACTCTATTACATGAACGACCCACACTCTCTTTTCGTTTACACATGCGACAATAGTCGTGTTTTCTTTGGTTATAGAGCTCAGTATCACTAACTTTATACTACTAGCACGAGGATAAAAAAATTATAGAAAATAACTGACTAAATGGCAAAAAATTATATTTACGAGATAATATCTATTTAAATAAATATACATATAAGATAAAGGCTATTTATTTGAAGCAAGTTAAAAGAAAAAATGGCAGAATGTCTGTTTGTGTATGAATTCATTTGTCACGGCTACCAAACTTTGCGGCCAAATTATCAGTGAAACAAAACAAACAGAACGGATAATAGTTGAACCAGTTCTCTATCACAGGGGTTCCCAAACTTTTTTCACCTCGGCACCTTTGTTGTGCTAAGAAAATTTCGGTGCAGCCCTACTCTTCAAATGTCTACGAAAACAAGAAAACACAATGCACACTTTATGCTCCTTTAGCTAGAGTGGTTCATAAAACCACTCTTTTTGGAAATTCATAAACGCTACATCAGAATATTGTTATTTGAGATAAAAAAAGACACGTATTTTTTTATTTTGAAAACACAATTTTCTTAGAGGTCGCTAATTAGGAATCTGAAATCAGTTCTTCGAAATTCAAAATGGCGGATCCAAAATGGCGGATAAAAATGATTGGATTTGTTCGAAACCCGGCACTCGAGAGTTTTTGTGGTCGCCGATTACGAATCTGAAGTCATTTTTTTTAATTCAAAATGGCGGATACAATATGGCGATCAAATTAAACACAAGTACTAAAATTAAAACGTTAATAATGAACGTTGAATGGGGGATCCAAAATACTGCCCAACTTTAAAAAAATGATTGGATTTGTTTGAAACTCTTAAACCGCCATTTTGAATTTTGAAAATCTGACATCAGATTCATAATCAGCAACCCCAAAAACCCACTGGAAACGTGTTTTAACCCTTGACAATGTTTAAAACGGTGAGCATCAACGTTTTAATTTTAGTACTTTTTTTTAATTTGATCGCCATATTGGATCCGCCATATTGAATTAAAAAAAATTGATTTCAGATTCGTAATCGGCGACCATAAGAACTCTCGAGTGGCGGGTTTCGAATAAATCCAATCATTTAAAAAAAAATCTACCGCCATTTTGGATCCGCCATTTTGAATTTCGAAAAACTGACTTCAGATTCCTAATTAGCAACCCCAGAAACCCCCTGGTAACAAGTTCCAATCCATGACAAAGCGTAAATCGTTCAGTATCAACGTTTTAATTTTACTAGTGTCTTTTCGAGAGCATATTTTCGGGAACTAGACCCATTCTAATTGTCCAAGACAGGTGTGTAATTAAGGGAAAGTTCCCCAATAATACCAGAGTAATTATATGTAAAAACCACATTTTTAGCTGCATTTTAACATGTCACGAAAATAAAATATTGAGAACATCAGCGTTTTTAAAAAAAACCGACCAGCGCGACCTCCAAGAAAACTTTTTTTTCAAAATAAAAAAACACATTTATCTTTTTTTATCACAAATAACAATAATTTGAGGTAGCGTTTATGAATTTCCAAAAAAAAAAATTTTGAACCACTCTAGTGAGGACTGAAATTGTTTTCATGATTTCATTATTTTCTTTCAGTTTATTGGGAGCTTTGACAATTTTACCCTGAAATCATTTGACGCTGAAAGCTTGCTGGTGTATTTGTTTTTAACCGACTCCACAAAAAGATTAAGGTTATCAATTCGTCGGAATATTTTTTTCTATGTATGTTACCGCATAACTTTGGACCACGATTACTATAATTCTTATTTAAAGGAAAGGTGTTACCTGACAGGTTGTCTAATTTGGTTTAAATCCGATCATTGGATCATGAATAGATTACCGATAATCTTAAATTCTTAGATGGGAATTGAAATCGGCTTTGTTTTTTGCTTAAAAATTACCTGTTTATGTAAGCATTTGTTGAAAATTCAGTCTCACATAGAAATGTAAAAATAAGGCCCCTGTTATGAGTTGCATTCGACTGTGTTCGAAAGTGCTCATCGAACGTATTTTCATATGGTATTATGACGCTCATTCGATGAAGAATAGCGCTATTGTGAATTTCGCTCGGTTAGGTTGTTTAAAATAGTATATTTTTCACCGCTGATAAGTTTTGTTTACAAATCGAGCAAACTAAATAGTGTGCTTAAACATAAGTATGTAAATTTGTGCAAATTAAAATGAAATAAAAAAGAAAGCGAGTTTATAAAAACGTGGTAAAAAAGAGTACAACGGTGTTCTGGTTCAACGATTCGTCAGAAGATGAGAGCTTGGTAAACAGGCCAGGAGTAGAAAATGTTTAAGAGGGTTTAAGTGTAGTCTTTCCAATATATTTTGACATAAAATATATTTAAGAAATTTGTCTACAGATTTATTAAAAACTTCCGACTCTCTAAAGGGGCGTTTGTGAGCTAAATCTATTTAAAATATTTTAAAACTATCAACAGCTTACGATTTTGTTCTCAGAGAACTGAGTATTGGGATTTTCTTTCACAAGTAAAAGCATCCTTTCGTGGTTGTGTTTAATATTCACGACGTTAGAGCTGCATGAAATTAATAAAAATTGTTTAAAATTTGTGTCTAGCCGCCAGTAAAAAACAAATACAAAATCATAAATTTTTCACATTTTTCTAACACTTCGCTACACCATCGAAAGCAAAATTCTGTTCGACAGAAAATTCGATACTCAACGAAAACTTCGACACGGTTGCAGAGCTCATAACTCCACTTTCGATGTTCGATCTTCGTTAACCAGCGAAGATCGAAAATCGAATGCAACTCATAATAAGGGCCTAAAAGTCACTAGTACTTTTAATGAAACCTTGCCGACAGCAGTGTTTTCTGCATACACTTGCATCCAGAACTCTCTTGGCTCCCTTCGTAGAATTTAATATTCAAAGTGCTGTCGCCACTGATGTCCAGAAGCTTTTCAAAAGCTTAATTTGTCATCCCAGTAGGTTTACTTTTCGGGTCACATGGAAAACGGGTTTGTTATCCAGCTGTAGACATCCTCAAAGTCAATGTTGGGAAATTATTCGACAATGGTTTTTTCTAAACCTTCCAAGTTAACGCTGGCATACGCCCTGGGGTGCCGCGTCACCCACTTTGGGAAGGCCCGCTCTATGAGGATCACATCGTTGTTGTTGAATTTGCAAAATTGTTATGCGGATCCCTATTATTGCCTAAGAAAACATAGCTAGAGTTGCGACAGAGTTGCATTGACTTCAGTTTATCAAGTTTATTCAGTGAAATCGCTGGAGAAATTTATCAGAAATGTGTAAACGAGTTTCCATACAAATTTTGACAGTTCATTTATAAGGTTTGATGAATACCCATAATGTTTCAAACTTTATACAAAATTTAGAAAAATTGTAAAAATTTTCATCAATATTTTGAACTTTTTAATATCAGTCTTTGGAGCATTTTTTGGGAATGCAGATTTATAATAACAGATTGGCGCTTATATATATGTTAGTGTTTGGCCGAACTTCTTTGTGGCGTGCGCCTTGATGTTGCCACACAAATGGGAAAGACCTACAGTTTTACGCCGATTCCGAACGGCGATTGTATTTTTATGAGAAGCTGGTTTTCACGGCAGAAATACAATCGGGGGTTTGCCATTGCCTGCCGAGGGGCGTTCGCTGTTAAGAAAAAACCTTTTTTCTATTAGGGTACTCACAGTTCTATATTATCTACTGTGTTAAATTTGCCACCTGGTAACTTTAAAACATTTTACCATGTGGTAACTTTGTTTGTTGTTGATTCCCATACTAATTAGAGATAACACTTTTGGGCAAAATTACTCGACTTTACCTCATGTTTTTGTTTTGTGTGAAACTGGCATCTCGCTAATTACTCGAGCTAAGAAAAAATGGAAAATGAAGCAGAAAAACATAGGGTGGGCGCAATTTGAAAGATTTTTAAATAAATATCTGACTATATTTGTTTTGTTGACAATTTGAAACTCATGTGTGAAGGGTTGCTCACAGTTCGAGAGTGTTATCTTGTTAAAGTTACCACCTTTTAACTTTAAAAGTAAACTGTGAATACCCTATATATTTTTTTGCGATGTTACTTTGACCAGGGCTTTAACTCAGGCCCTGCGGAGTGAAAGCGCGCACTGCAGTTTTATAGCTCATAAAATTTTAGTATACCAATATGCAAGTCATCAAAGAAAAAATATTAAAAATCAAAACAATTGAAACTTGCACTTCATTATACTAAAATCTTTTAAGCTATAAAACTGCATCTTGCTTTCTTGCTGATTTAAGACAAAGCGATTTTTGGCCTTTCGATGTACTAGAGATGTCAGTTTACAGAAAACATCGAGTGAACATTTTTCGATTAATCGAAGCAAAACATCGATATTTTCGAAGCACCGATGTTTTTTTTGACTAGACTTTTCATTGCTTGATGTACTTACCTTTTCATCGCGAACTGATTCCGGATGTTTAGCGTGATACATGCAGAAATATTTGCGGTGGCCATTAAGAGCAATCACCGTGCCCACACAATTTCGGGGATTTATATTTAGGGGTTTTGATTCGCACAAGGATAACCTTAGTAGCTCAGCATACCATAGCAACCCCTTTTCTATAAGCATATGACCAAATAATAAAGTTTTGGATTTCCTGTATGGCCATACAGCTTTATGAAATGAGGGAATTAATTTTGGTCGTGTTTTAATATCGGTGACTAAAATAATAGTTCGGCAGCCCGGCTTTAACAGTCGAACCATTCCATTATATTTCTCAGCTCTAAGTTCATGTAATTTAAGTTCTGGAGTACTGCGAGTTTGTTTCATTACTAAAATGGAAGAAGGTTAAAAGTATAATACCATTACATTAAATTGTTCTTAGTGAAATAATATGTATGTATATATATTTGAAACAGACTATAACCTAGGCTAGTTTAGCTTGACTAACTAACTAACTAACTAGAATAAATCCCTCGCAAGGACCACAACTAACTGCTAGTTAAGAGTTATGGTCTGATTATGGCAACTTAATTATAATTAAAATTATAACAAAGTAAAAAAGAAGCACTAGCTTCCAGGGCTATCGACATTCCCTTAAGTGAATTTGATTTTTTAAACATGTGGCAATACTTCTACGTGTCGTTTAGAAGTAAATCGTTTTATTTATTAAATAGTTTTAATATAATTTGTAACAAGACCCAATCTGTTTCAAAAAAATAAAACTTTATTGCACATCTAAAGGCCAGCCCTGTTATTTGACATCTCAATTTGAAAATAGAACTAACTATATGTTCATAACTATGTAAATAAATGCCGCAAGAACCCAAATTTTCAGATTCAAACTGCATTTACTGTTATCCAAAAATCAGTTCAGTAATTTAAAAGGAATGTAATCAGAACAATTCACTGATTGACAATGTATGTATTTGTAATAAAGTAACTAATACGATGTCCTAATCCTTTGGTTTAACACAATTATTATTTCAGTTTAACTAAATTTGACTTTAAAAACATATGGCAACCCTCTTCGTAGTATTTGCAGGCTAAAACCTTCTTAAAGCTGTTTTGTCTGACTCCCATATGGTGATACCTATCTATTTCAATTACCTAATTCCTTTAATTCGAATAAAATTGTTTTTTTTTAAACCCTTTTCGTACACATTTCGATCGATACCCATCTCTAAATAATTCATTTAACTTATTCAAAAATTTGAATTTAATTTTTTAACAGGGGGCAACCAGAGGTTTACGCCGCCAAGCCACGCCGCTGCCATTTTTTGTCATTCCTCACGCGCCGCCGCCGAGTTACGAAAATATCGGCGCCTTAGGAATTGTGTAAAAAATTTTCATGATAATGCACATTGAAATACATACATCGTTTGAAGGAAGTACTACTCGTATAAATAACGCTATTTTACGCAATGAAAATTACATTTGGAAAGGAGTTTTTTTACCTAATTTGCGCCACTGAATACGAATATGATCTCCTTTATTTTTCCAAAAAAAGCGTAACTCTGAAAAAACATAGGAAACACGTTTTTTGATCGAAAGCGTTTATCACAGTTAAATTAGGGTCGAACCAAGGTTGTTCGCTGGCGACAACAAGACAAAATGGATGAGAACTGTTGGCCTAGAGAAATTCATTTAAATGCCGCATATTTGTGTTTGTCGACATTCGTGGAGACCTATTGATCCTGCCAAGTCGCTGTAAAGTAAAGCGCGCAATGGTTCTGGTAAATGAGTCAACGAAGATATTTAGGTATTGACCTACACAACACAATCCTGCAGTCGAATTCTGCCAATCGCTACGCTAAGTTTCCATCGCTAAATTAAAAACCGCGGGATCTAAAAGTACGCAATATGGAAAAATATCAGAAGCAAAGTGTAATTAGGCAAATCTAAATCTACATATGAGTATGAAGGGCATGTAACATAACTATACATGTTGTTAAGCGCGCCTGCTATTCTTTTGGAGACCTTTAGTGTTCAAAATTAGCGATAGCGGATGCTGGAGTCCAGCTGCTGGTGCCTTCGAATGAGACTTTGACGCAATTTAATATTAGCAAACCGCGTCCATGGGGCCAATAGTAAAACACGATAGCTCGGTTTAGTCAATGGCGCGATATAATTGCACACTTACGGAACTTCTCATTTGACGATATAGATCACGTTCCCTGTCTCAGTCGTTCAGTAGCTGCGTGTCTTTTTATCTTCCTTTTATTAGCTCGGGATGTAACTATGTAATATTGATGCGCCCAAAAGATGCAGCGATTTCTATTCTCAAGTTACATACCTGATGACAGTATGAATGGCAATTATAATCAAGGAATGAAACCGATTAAAAATAACGTTCCGGTTTGGGTTTCGGTTTTGCCAAGTGTTTCGGTTTCGGTTTTGGTTTCGTTCTTCAAAATTTATTTCGGTTTTGGTTTCGGTTTCGTTCCGGTTTCGGTTTTTCACAGAAATTTTGTTGATATTATTTAAATCACAATGTCTTAAACGTTGAGGAAAGAAAATCGAAAATTACAGTTCACTGATAATATCAACACTAGGTTCTTTCCCTAACAATCCGGACCGGATTTGGTAATTAGAGAATAAGAGAAACATTTTCTTTCAAAAATGGAACAAAGTTCAGAAGTACGGAAACGCAGCTGATTTACGTTGTTCTTGTTTTTGTCACTTATACCATGTTCTGACCGACATCGGAAACATGTTTTCGTTGCTAAAACTGGTTTTCGACCTAAAACTTGTGTTTTCGTCCATATAAAATCTGTTAAACGAAAACCTGTTTTCGCTGAAAACTACTTGAAAACTCACTTTTCACTCATTCCAATCGGTGTCTTCACTAGTTTTTTTTCGATTATTTATCGAAGTGGAAGTCATATTTTATCATCTTTAATACGCCATTTCGGATTTATTGTTAATTGCCTGGCCAAGCAAAATAAGAATGAAAGTTAAAGGTTGTAAATGGAAAGAAAATGAAGGAAAAATGTTTTGGTTGTCGGTGAGAAACTTGGTATTAAATGCAAACACTTGGAAATTGAATTTTGGTTTCACAAGTTTGATTTTAAGTACATAGATTGAAAATACATCAACAGGCCATACACTTTTCCTTAAAAGCACCAAGTAAATGCAGGCAACATGTAAACACAATACAGCTGATATGCACTTTGACACTTTATCAATTTTTACTCGGAGAAAATTTCGGGCTGTTTCGGGCAGGAAGAAGAATACACTTACGATCGAATACGCTCGAATTTTCGCTCTCTATTACCCATTTTGTTGAGTACAGGCATGATTTCTGGGCTATTTTGGGCACACGCGGGATCTCGCATTGCATACGGGAAAGAAACTATTTAAATATAATTAATCGATTATCGATTCACAACAACAAAGTCATCAGCAGATTTTTGCGAAAAGTTACCTTGCCATACTTATTTACTACTTAACAAGAATTTTATCAAAATGTTGCTGATTTTGGTTAAATAAATCATTTATTTCAAAGAAATTTTTATTTATTATTTTTGTAAATTTCTGGAAACCGATTGAAACCTGTGATTGAAATGGTTTCGGTATCGTTCCTTTTCAGGTCAAGATAACGGTTACGGTTTCGGTTTCGGTTTTGAAAAACGAAACGGTTTTAAACGGTTACGGTTTCGGTTTGGGTTTCGGTTTCATTCCTTGATTATAATAGGGAGGTTTTAGTTTTTTACACTATAATTTTATTATTCTTCCTGTCGGCCGGCACGAAGCGCCAATCGCGACTGTGTAAGCCAATATTTAATATTCTGACGGCGGCATAATATCCCCAGAACACTATAAGTGTAATATCAAAGAATTCGAATTAGCATACTCGAAGCAATAGAGCCATAACCGTGAAAGAAACGTAAGCTCCTAATGTTTTTATTCGGCGTATTTTTTTTTAGTAAAAATTCCATAAGTTTTCCACAGACAAATAGCTTCTTCATATCCATCTAATGTAAATGTTACCGCAAAGAGTTCACAAGGCAGACAAACAATAAAAAAATAACTCAAAGGGGACCATCTATCGTTGAGTTATGCGCCATCTGACGTACGTAACTTTGGTATATTCATGGCAATATTTATTTTTAATAACAATCACCATGCATCATTATACACACCTTTTTGTAGAATTTCGCTACCATTTAGGAAGTGTGTTTTAATTCTTCCCCTTTTTCTCCTGCTTCCAAAAACCATCCCTGTGGGTGGGAGTGCCAAATTTTAGAAAATAGCTACTTACAAAACCTTTAATATTTGAATTATGCATTTGCATGTATTTTGTTGTTGCTTCTACTATTGACAATGTCAAAAACTGTTCTGATTTTTTTCTTCTAAATCAAAGCGAGTCATGTGAAATACAAACAAAAATAGAATTTAAAAAATTTAAATTGGAAAAACTAAAAATTGTTGCAACCTTCTTTCTTAGTAAATGTGTTTGCTTCCCGAAGCATTGATCCAGCCTTTGCAAGGCGGTTGTGCTGCTGAGTGGGCGAACGTTCCAAAATCAACCGCTTGTTTCGCATAGAAAAAGGTTTCACATGCAAATACATAGACTTTAACAATGTCGAATTTTTGTGAGAAAAAATTTAAATATTTGAAATTTTCGAGACCGAATAATTTGAAAAAAATCAAATCAGCTGCTCTACTGATATTACCTGTTCAATGTGCCTTGGGTCGAACACTGGTAATCTGATGATTTTTTTCCGCAATACTCGGTTAAAAATTTCGGTTTTAATTTTAAACTTTTTGGACTACATATATGACCAAATTAAATTCAGTTTCAAATACAAACCTTCCAAGTTAAAAAAAAGAGAGCTCATATGTAGGGTTTAGAATTTAAACAGTTCGGTTTAAATTTAAAACCCAAACATTTTCATAATTAAGAATAAAAAATAAAAAATCTTAAATTTCATGCTCCGTCTGATGGGGATTGAACCCGGACAGCCGTGGTAGCAATCAATTGTATCAAGCATCTTTGCACACTCAGCTACAGACACGCATGTAAATGTGCTTTCATATGTTCAGTTTGAATCAACACCACATTTCGCTGTGTGCAAATATTTTCTATTTCGGTTTAGATTTTAAACCAAATTTTCTATATTTGAAACCTAGAAACTAGAATTAAAACATTTTGGTTTGATTTTTAAACCACGAACTTTTCGGACTAAAATTTAAACAAGAATATGTTAAAAATCGCTTAAAACTATTGACTGGCTTAAAAAGTAGACTATAAAAGATTAAAAAAGGCAGTAGTCCCAGCGCGGTTTAAAAATTAAACCCAAATTTTTTACCGTATACTTAGTAAATT